ATGTTGTCTATAAGTTTGGTTATGCCTGTATCAGAGAAAAAAGCTATACAAAAAGTGAAAACATTCCAAATTCTAGATCGAATCAAAGTGGACAATCGTCTTTAACGGAATATCGACAGATTAAAGTCCACGCAAACAAATTCAAATCGGGTAATCGCAATATCAGCATAAAGAAGCATACAAAGCCCAACGAAAGAGGAACTAATCCTCAATGGTTAAAAACTGTTAAAAACGTGACGTGACAATGACGTCTCTTGATGCTTTCTCGAAAGTCATGGCTCTCCCTGGCAAATCGACATCACCATCGAGTAGGAGAAGACTTCCCCTACTCGATGGATATGTTGGTTTGTGTAGAGAATGTATTGTTTACAAAGGCTGTTACGCCCTAATTCCAGCTCTATCTAGATTTATTCAGGAAATCCTTCATCGTTGAAAGGCAGCCTCAGCAATTTTAAGTAAAAGATTTGCCCAATGCAAATTGGACATTGCTTTGCTTCAAGAGCCATGGACACATAATAGTATGATATTAGGGATACCTACAAAATCATGAAAGTGAATTTCTGATGATACCCAACCCGGGAGCTATTTAACAGCTCCAGTGTAATGTCAATGTACCCCGAAAATTGTGGTACTCTGGTTCTGTCAAATGTAAGAATGGTGGAGTAAATTTACAATTCGTCTTATTTTTGATCAACTCTTTTCTAAACGTTTTTGACACAACCTAATTCCTTCCTTCTAATTAGCTACGAGTTCAACAACGATGGTGATTTCACCATGTTATATCTTCATTTTATTTCAGCAACCTTATCTTCCAGCAGACGCTCTGGACAGCAATTTCAACATCTATAAAAAAAAATCTACATTTGCCAGCAACACTGACTGGCTTATCTTCCCTACTAGCATAATTCCTAAATTCCCGAGACATTTATGAGGGGTCGTAGAGTTCTCTGCATCTCTCTTTAGTAAATTTTGGACTAACATACCTTTCCTATCGCTACCAGTTGCTAGGACGTGGCCAGGACAACCCTTAACTGTTGGAGCGGGATATGTCTTTATCTGGGAGATAGTAATTATTTCCTGCTTACACACAATATTATTGCTGGACGACCAGCAATTTAGGCCAATGTCAAATTTACAGCACTTTACTGATTATCCAGCAAAACGGAACATCAATCATTTTGCTGGAAGAGCAGCAAATCTCGATTGTTGTTTTTTCAAAGAGGCATTATTGGAATAAATATTTTATTACACTTTCATGTAGTTGTATATAGTAATTTATTAAATGTGACTGCACTTCTTTACAAAATCATGTCTTGAAGAAGCTATGATGGGCCATCCTGGGTGAGTTATTGTTGTTGTTGTTTCTTTATTAAGGAGACTCCTGGGTAGGTTTGCGAATGAAGAAAACTGTAAATTTCAGAGAAAAACGAAAGTTTTTAAACTTAATTCAGATTGCTAAGGTAGTTTAGTATACTTACTTCATGACAAAAGCTCTTTTTATATAATATCCATGATATTTTGTGAGTCGAACACTTTGAACATAAAAATAATCATAAATCGTCACGAATGATAGATTTTGGCCTGATTTTGACGTTTCATACAGTTTACTGGAACGTCCAGCAAAATATTTCATTTTACTGATTTTTCAGTTTAAGTTAGTTTTGCTGGATGCAATTCAGCAATTCATTTTGCTGGAACAGGATTTCAAAATTTGGTGTGATACTATCTATCCAGTAATAGATATCCGTCTTGCTCTTAATAGTTTTGAATTTGTACCACCTACGATATCGTGCAACTTGCTACGATGCTAATACTAATGCTAATGCTAAATTGCTTTTCAGGCCCACTGGCGCAGGAAAGTATTCAAAACTCGGAGTGCCTTGTTAAGCGTGACTCGGTTTAAAATCCGACAAGCTTTAAATATACGATGCTTATTGCTTACGCAGTCTATTGCTCCTATGAATTTGATTAAAAACGGTACGTCAATTTTAATAATACTCATTTTAATAATACTATCCCTAGCTCAATGTTGAAGAAACCCTCTAAGGAAGGGTTTAAAAACTTGTATGGAAAAGTGGTTGTAGAAGGTTGTATTTCCATTATATTGGGGTACAAAACAAATTGAAGGAATATAACTAGTAAGTTTAATTTACATTGAAGTAATACCTTCCTGGTTAGCTAATTAAGGTCTTCTGGATAATTCTGCGATGTCTTCCGGGAATTTTCTTTGTGCCATTTTATTCAAGTGAACTTTTCTATTCAAATCTACGAATCTGATTTTGTAAACAATCACTTCAATCGACGATATGTGGAAACAACTAGCTCACTCACAGAAACTAACAACACCAGCTAGTAGGGGAAAAATTCATCTAGGGGAAAAGTTGGCTTCGGCAATACCTTAACCTATTATCGTCAGGGGGGTAAACAACGTCCTTGAGAGCTCAATTTTGGCATGTGGATACATTGTGTTTCAGAGCAACTATTGGTCAAATTTGAGTGCTCTAGGACTTTGTTTACCCCCCTGACGATAATAGGTTAAGGTATTGCCGAAGCCAACATTTCCCCTACCTGATGAGGTTTGTTTGCGTGTGTGAGCTAGCAGTTAAGACAAATGGTCGATTGAAGTGATTGTTTACAAAAGCAGATACGTCGATTTGAATAGTTACGCTTGATTTGATCATCTCTGAATCTACACTGAGGCAAAAATACTTAAGAATTCCATAACGCATAACTTATGAACCCGGATGATTTTGATTTCTTAAGACGCTTATGCATTTCATAAGCGTGACTTATGATTTCCAGAAGCATCGATGAAGTTATAATTTTTGGATAATGCTAACGTTAGATGAAGCTTCTTTTTGTTCGCTGTTTTCGAATTACACGCTTCCATTTGAAATCAACCAAATTTGGAGCTGGGTGGCGGCAGAAAAATGTAAGTATTTGCATCCTATTTAAAATGATTTATGATTTTTTAATTTATGTCATTTCAAGCACCTTCAAAATTGTTTGCTAGTGGTGGCCAGCCCCTGAAAGAAAAAGCAGTTATAATCGGAAATCCGATCGTTGTAAGTTCCTGTTCCTTATTTTTTCCTCGTATTTTACCCCATTTTGTTTGTTCATTGTCACAGGATCTTAAACAGGAAATTCAGGAAAGTTATGCATCCGCTGAAGAAGATTCCAGCCATGTTAACAAACCAGTTAACGAAATTGATGATTCGAGTGAGTTCGTTCTACCAGCAATTTCGAGTTCAACAACCGGAAAGCAGATGACAATCACGAACGCAGCTGTATTTAAGTTTGAAATACCACCGAAAAGTTAAATTTGGTAGCGGAAAGTGCAGAAAAATTATCTACTGAAAGTTCTACAGAAAATCTCGTGAAAAGAGGATTATTTTCACTCCGAAGTACTATCAGTGAGCCTACATCGAATAAAAAGCTTCCTCCAGCTGTACGTACCGTCGAGATTTTTGAGCCAGAAGTAGCAGAGCATTTTCCTATGAACAGAAACGTTGAACAAGTTATTTTATCATATATTTGACTAAGTTCTAAAAATCCACTTCTTTACTCCTTCTAGGAAAAAGAAGAATATTCGACATCAGTGAACAGGGAATCACCTACTTTTCTGTCACCAAGTCATCTCCGAACTCTTTTGGTAAAAACAGATTACGGAAAACAAGTGTTGAAAGAAGCGACAACGCATAAACTTTCTAACGTGGGTCAAAAGCTAGTCGTCGACACGGTTGCCCGATTCCATTTATCTTTGGGACGAAAAACCACTGCAGAGTCAATAAACGACCTCAGTGAAGTCATTATTCGCGTTTTTTTCCCAAAGAATCAAAGGTAAAACTTAGTGAGAATATGACATATACCACAAAAGATTTTTTTTAATTTAGAGCTTGAAGGTGAATTTAATGTTAACATTCTACAATTGAGACCATACTGTTTGAAAATCGCGAACGAATGCCCTTTCAATGTGAAAGAAAAAGTTTTTTTTTGAACATTCGATCCAATTCAAAGGTTCACAATTTAAAATAGGTCAATTTATAACGATATCGGAAAGCGCATCGATCAAATTGTTAGAAATCGAAGATTTTGTGAAAAATAGAGAAACAATATAAGCAATGTGCAGAAATTGGGAAAAAGGAGCATATGATGATCATTTATTAACTTATGAAGCCGTAGAAAGATGTGATTCAATGTGTATTATTGGTATTAATGCAGTGATTGGATCTCCATTTTCTATTCATTAAGTGAAAAATCCGGATAAATAATGATTTTAACTAGATGTAGAGAATATTATTAATTTTAGTATTATCAATAAACCTATGTTGTTAATCAATTATATTTCAATTAAAGAACATTTAAGCCGTAGCAAATGATTGAATATTTTCCAGCAAGAACTCACGAGTTGATCGAGCTTTGTCCATCCTTAAAATAAATGACGGTTGGATAAATTTCGATCAATTTATGAGCTTCTTGTGATAATTAAATTTCTATTAAAAAATAATTTATATAGCATACTAAAGAATATTATAGCAAGTAAAAAATGATATTCATAGCTACGTATTATGATTTTAACAAGTAAATACGTATGTTATTCATAACACATGAATATGATTTTCATAAGACAACTTATGAAAATCTTAAGTGGTATGATGAACAAATTCCCCTCCGAAGTCATAAGATAAACTTATGATTTCCATAACAGATCCTTTTGTCGTGAAGTCATAAGTGATTCTTATGGAATTCTTAAGTATTTTTGCCTCAGTGTATGTCCCTTTTGATTTAACTACAAGTGCTCTAGTATTATTTTTGAAGCTTACTTAACTTGAATTTAGGTTCAGGTTCAGGTTCTGGTGAGTGCTCAGCGCAACGCAGCATTGGATATAATGCTTAGTTGCTATTTTGAAATAAGCAAACCCAATCACAGAGAACTGTCGATGAATGTGGTGGGACTTGTCAGAGGGGCATTTACTACAACACCTTATATCGAAACTCACCCATCGGAAGTTATGATGCAGCTGTAGGTTAGTGGTGTTACAGGTCGCCTGCGACATCGTCCCAATGATGCAAGGCAGTTTGGCAGCGGTGGCACTTAGTAAGCAGGAGAACACATCGCCCAGCGCTGAGGCGTGGTGCAAGTTGTCGAGGATTATCACAGCTGGAAGCTCCTCCACGGCACCCTCGGACATCGATGCCTGTTCGGCAATGTGACCCAGGTACTGTTGCAGCTCCTTGGAGGACTTGTGGTCGACGCTAAAAAAAGAAGGTTCAATTTAGATTGAAAAGGTAATTCAACCGAAAGACGAGACTAACTTGAAAGTGGCAATCGCTTCAGCGGGATTATCCCGACCGGATCGTGCCACCAGGAATTCCGCCAGCTTCCTTGCCAGATAAGATTTTCCGGTACCACTAGGACCACACAGGATCAATCGTCGGTGCTCGGTCAACAGTGAGATGTACCTATGCACTATGTTGCGAAGAATTAAACTTTCGAAAGCTAGGCTTCCAACACCCTGAAGGCAAATGTACAGCGTCTTCACGTTCCCGATAATGTACCCACAGGGCAGCAGCTCGGGGAATCCCATCTCTGGGCCACGTTTCGCTTCTCCCAGGTGGTAGGACGTGATCGAATCCGTATTGAGACCCAGATTGGTTCCGGGATCAATCTTTCCCAGATAGTCTTTGAACGTTTTTCTTACAATGTAATCCAGATTCTGCCAGGTGGTCTTCCCGGAGATGTACGTATAGGCAATGATATACTCATTGGGACTAGGATTGTTGCTTTCTGGTGGACCTGAGAACGATTTCCGACTTTTTTCACCGTTCTCAGACACTGACTTCTCGTCGATGTCGTCTCCATTCTGCGACGAGTGGTAATAGTTATCACATTCGTTCATTTCCTCCGCATATTTGGCGAAAGATTCCGGCTGACCAAGATAGACCGCAATAGCAATCTTCTTGCCGTCCACGGGATCAGCTACATCTTCCGCAGGGGTGGTCAGTATTTCAGTAACCATTGCTGCTCGTTCGATGGATGGAGAAAGCTCAGCAATTATCGCCGGGCTTAGCGGAGCCGGTGGAGGTTCTGGCGCCGGAGCAGGTGGAATATTGTCCTCTTCTGTTTCGTCTAGATTCTGTGGCAGTTCAAGCGGTGCTCGAGCCATTCCATTATCCGCAGCAAGGCTATACCTTCGTGGTTCACCCATCGAACCGCTTGGGCTGACGGGACCAAGCGAGACTTCGCTACCGGCCAGGGATCTTGTGGTAACCAACCGTTGCAGTCTCTCATTGTTATGCTTAAGGTTCATCATCTCGTGGCGCATCTTCATCACAGTGTCTTTGAGGCATTCCAGTTGGGAAGCGGAGTTAAGTGCTTCTAATCGGATATCGGTAAGGACCAGATCCTTCTCGCGAAGTTGCTTCTTCAGGTCTTCCACCATGGGATTACCATTTTGCTCAACGGCGTCGATTGGTTTAGCTACAAAAGAAAGACGGGACGCGTTATGTTGACGACAATGAGAGCTGGACAGTTGAGGAGCTTTACCGTTTTCAACCAGAGTAAGGGATTTGTGCGGACTACCGTTTTTGGTGGGCGACGGCGGGGGCAGTTGTGCGTTTGGCGGTCCGATTCCGGATTGCTTCTCACCGATTGGACCCATCGTCGTCGAAGGCTGCTGGTGATTATTATTTCCATTGCTACTGCTATGATGATGGTGGTGATGGTGATGGTGATGGTTTCCGGACGCCGGTGAACCCTGGTCTAGGTTTGACGACTGACTCACGTGGCGGTTGGTTTTGGAGATTTTTGCATTGCGGGAGAATGCTTTGGTGAAGGAACTTCGTAGCTGGAATTTTGAGATGGAAATGTGTGTTAAAGCGTGGGTGAGATTAATTCGTCAAAATCCCAGACCAACTTACCCATCCCTTTTTCTTCTTCTTATCCTGAGCCGAACAGCCAGAGCTGACCGAATTCAAAGAGCACATAGAGTCGGAACTATGATGCCTTTGCATTTCCGCACCGGTTGGCAGTGGTGGCGATGTCTTCTGATCTGTGTTCTACGAATAAAAAAAAAAGTGAAAAAGAATCGACAACAGCAAGTCATCAGTCATTAGTGTCAAGGTATCGTTCGCAAAGTGCCGCCGACCACTTACTCCATTTCCATTGACCTGTCCGTTAACTTGTACGCCCATACTCTGCATATGGGCGGTAGTTAGGCCAGCCTGGATCGATTGCTTCCGCAGCAGCTCAATTGTCTGTCGCATGTCCAAAATTTCGCTATCCTACATTTTTCGGGAGATAAGTCATCCATTAGTGACTAGGTAATTAGGTGAACTAAGTAAGTTGACTGAAATGTACCTTCTTTTCCGTCGTAGCCGTCAACGATTGTAGCCGGTGGGTCATGTTGGCCAAACTTTGCTCGAATGCCGCCACGACGTGTGCCTATGAAAAAGAAAATACCGTCAATTAGTCATTGCGATAATCGCCTTATTGAGGATATATTTTAAACTAATGGGACAAACACGCATGCGCAATAATGCCACGTCGATCGGCTTTTGGAACGCTATCGGAGAACTTAAAAGCTTATTTGTTGGAATGACTTTAAAGTAGTTTGGATGAATAAGACGATCAAAATGTCTGCTTCTCTTCCGATCAATTAGAGTTGACTATGACAGTAAGAGACAGACAGAGGCAGTGCTGCAGTCAACAAAAGTCGTAAACTACCCCAACTACTCTCCTAGCGAGATTTACGTCCTTTCGAATCATTATTGATTGTTGAAAGATTTATATCCGTTTTTCCAGCTCGTATACATCCGTCGTTAGTCATTGTTTCGAAATGGGAACTTGTGTCCATCAGATGAGACCATTGCAAAACAGAACGCTTTCACTGGAATTGATATTAATGGGGACTCTTTCGTCTTCGGCCATTCAACGCACAACATGCAACACACGAGACGATGTGCTTTACAATGTGTGATTTGATGAGTTGTCGTCATCAAAGTTTCGCTCTCTGTGCTCCAAAGATATGATTTATGCGCTTGGCTTTATGGTTATTGCTGGCCCTTCATTCCTTCGATCTCTTCGATGGAACTGGATGGGATGATTTGTGCAGCTGAGCTGAGCTGCTTTCGATGTGGAATGTTTATGATAATAATGTTGGTGATTTGGGATTGGAAGCAGGTACTGAAGATAGGAGAGGAAGGGTGGTTTGGGGATGGCATTCAAATTAAAATGTTATTGTCTTTGAAGGTTGTCGTAAATGTTGGGGATGGAACTAGATTGCTATTAATGGTGATCGCAGTAAACAACATTGAAGAAAATTGCTGTGACAATCAGTAGTGAATTAATGAGTATCTTTAAATTAAGTTTAGCTTGACGGGTGCTTTGAAATGGTCTTGAAAATGGTTCATTGTTAATCATCGCAACATGACTTTGAACAAATTGACTTGAAAATTTCTAATCAATCTTAATCTACAGCCTGGTAGCTACCCGAGCAGAGATTCAAAACAAAATGAAAACTAAATTTGATATTTTGAAATCTATTGGTTGATATCAAGATTCAAAATCAAAAACAACAAGGGACAGCCCTATGGGGTTGGACGCAATGGTGACGTAGGACTACGTGGTATTATATAATAAATGTTATTTGTCAACTGCAGCAGGAGCTTGTGTTTTGTGTAGGAATAGGAATTTGAGCGGGGTTCTTTCTGTTTATACTCTTTAGTATCACTATGATTGCTCTGAAAAGAACCTTTTGATATGAATCCCATATTCTTCGGTTCAATGATTGGGCACTCGCAAGAGTCTCGGCCCGTCTGCTGCTGGACAGAGGTTGAACTGGTGTCTGCGACAGGTTGGAAGGCCGCAGAAAATCAGTCTCCCAGCTAAAACTCCTCCCCCTTTCTCGTTAAACTTCTTCTCTCAACAAGTTGGTAAATCTAAGCCTTGAGCAGAAAGACGCTTAACACTTTTTTCGGCGAATTTATAATCCTGTTTCACGTAATGGTTCTTCTCTATGCCTGTTCAGATAAATTAGTACTTTTATTTATTTTCTCTACTGCGCTAGATTAAACGAGAAGAAATAAGAACGGATGTCGGTTACGCGCTAGAATAATTGAAAATTCGATAAATATTTAAGCTGGAAAAATCTTTGCGATTAATCGTTAATCGAATAATTGGCATCCCTAGAAAATAGTGTCATTTCATGTTTTTGGTGGTCCTTCAAAAATGTCGAACATCATAATTGCAACCAGCAAGTGTAACCCAAGAACCAAAAGCGGTGCTATGCTAGTTTTCATTGCTATGACGACGACTGAATTAAGGGGCATAGAAGCAGAAGGGTGAAAGTCAATTCTCTTCATCGATTTTCTCTTTTGATGACCATGGCTTCACTAACCTATTTTGCAGTATTTCTGCTATGCAATTCTACCATAGAGCAACAAACGTATCAATGAATGTGCTTGCCGTCGAGTTATTAACTTAACAGAAAGTCGATGAAGAGAATCGCTCAAAATCGCTGGCACCCCTGCATTTTGTGTGGTCGTTGGGGGCGTATGGTTCTGAATATGGCGATGAGTGTGCAAAATGTTACGCAATTGCATCCTCCCTATTCGCTCACGCCCTCTGATGACAGCGTTGGGGAAGCAGCAATGCTACATCGACATGTTTCACCTAGAAACCATTCTCTGATGACTGTGTTGGGAAAGCAGCATATGTATGTGCGTAAATGGTGGATTTGTTAGTTATTTCGATGCTTCTGGACAATGCTTGACACTTTTCAAAAGTTTCTTGTTGAAAATCAACAGTGCGAAGCATTGCTATCTATGCGTAGAAATATTTCTGATCAATTGGTGATTAAATTATTGAAATGTGTCCAGGGGCAGATGAACTATTAACGTTCAAAATCTTTCATAATTTCGTTACATGTTCCATTTTCGGTTTTCACAAAGTGTACCCTTATATATAAATCAAAGACGTAGTTCTTCGTCAAAAATGTTATCGATAAGTTTTCATCTATTCAAAATAAAAACAAACCTATATTTCAATCAGTTCTCAACATGATAGTATGCAATGGAAATAATATCATTTGTTTTCCAATTGATATTCGAACAGGACGAAATTAATTTTATATCGATTTGTTTATTCAATTCACAAGCAGATTAATATCAATTAATGTTGTAACATATAACTGCAAACATCATAATTGTCTTTGTGATGTGCATAAAGAAAACAGCAAGCATTCTGATTGACTCGTAAGACAAAAAAAAAGTAGATTTAGTGATAAATGTGGATGCTATAAAATATCAAATTTTGTTTTCATTTATATTTATTTAGAAATATCAAAATAAAATCAAAATAGCATATCAAAATATTCAAAGTGTTTTTATGTTACTTCATACACGAAGTTTGCGATTGTCAGTATTGTTTGGAAATTCTATCTAACATAAAACTTTAGTGTTTTAATTATATTTTGTCGATTTATTAGCTAGAGAATGATCTTAGAAGTGGGTAGATTGATAGTTCCGTTAAAGTACGGCAGTATGAAAATTGAATAGAAGTTGAACATGAGCGAAGGGCCATTAATGCAACAGTGCAAGTCAATGCTTTCGGCCAAATTGAGCTTTAGGTAGTGATGAAACGTCGCTAGAACTATTCCACAGCCACAGGCAGTATTTGAGCAAAGTCAGACGCACATTTTTTGCCTGTAAATTTGAAGACATACTTCAAATCTCCTCATACATTGTACGGGTTAGGCAAAAAGTTTGCGTATGACTAGCACTGTCGCATTAATGGCCCTTAGCTCATTTTCAACTTCCATTCAATTTTCATACTGCCGTACTAACGGGGTATAACTAAAAAATGAGAATTTTCTTTGAGTGCCATAACAAAAAGACTTGTTTATAGAGAGGAAAACAGATTGATTTAATTTGAAGGGACGTCCCTTTACTTTAAAAAAATAATGAACATTTGAATACGGTCCATCATCAGCTGTTCGACAAAGCTTTGTCCTGATGTTTGAACAGGAGCGTTGTACAGCTTCTTTATCCATTTGGCCAATGCATCTTTTGATTCTATTAATCAGTTTTTTACAGTATTTGGCTCTCCAGTTGTTTTTGTATACAAGCAAACTCAAATATCCAAAGAAATCTTCAATCGGGCGACACGGCGTAATTCCGGGTCATCCAGCGGCATTGGGATTTTACGGTTGATATCTGTTGCTCCGTGTATTCTGGTGCTCTTGATTTCTTGTGGCAAACTATTCCTATCTTCTTCAACGTCTTGCAGATGTAAGGTTGCGTAGTCTTGAACTTTTATGCTGCATCGGATTGACTAATCGAATCCTTGTTGTTAAAAGTACTATGGAGCAATCTAAGTCCTTTCTTGTCCATTATTTTAGCCGGTCTCCCACTACCACTCCTACGAGCTGTTCCTGACGATGCCAGGATACGATAGATGGTTGAAACTGGAACATTCTCGCTTTTAAAATGGTTCACAGTGAACTTTTTCCCGTGATTTATGTTCGTTTGATAGAACTGTACAATCCGCTCGCGTAATGCTTCTTGCTTCGACGGCATTTTGAGCACAACTGAACAAGTTGGAACCAAACAAAACATACGATTATGTTGGGGAAACAGAGAGCATTGATTCACATAATCTTTCTTTTCTCTGTGCACGTTTGTGGTTTGGTATGAGAGAGTTAAAATCATTCCCATTTTTTAGTTATACGCCGTTATAACGGAACTATCTACCTACCCTCTTCTAAGACCATTCTCTAGCTAATAAATTATCACACTAAAGCTTCATGTTAGACAGCATTTCCAACCAACTCTTAATATCAAAATATGTTATCAACATGATTTCAAAAACAAAATTTGATATAATTTTGATATCCAACTTTGCTCGGGTACGCAACGATAGTGTTTATGTTAATTTTCAGTATGTGCTATATTTCGTTCAGGAGATAGGAAGTTACTGTCATTGCAAAAGTTGATCAGGCAGCCAAAAGCTTTTGAATGGTGAGAAAATTAGTTCATAATTATGTCACTACGCAGCGCTGGTGTTCCTATGAAATTTCAAGATGCGCTATACCTCGAGATCTTTACTATCTGGGAAGATACTCTTTTGGGCAAAGTTTTTCAACTAACCAAGGCCTTCTACATGTTGGACAGTTAATGTGAAAATATACTCACGACGTGGCACTTTTGTGCATATGAACTTCTAAAATGTGCTGTGTCTCACGATTCTGACCGCCTGCAAAATGTGTGTCTTTGGAATAAAAGTTGAAGTAGCTAGATCCTTTCGAATGAAGCACAGATTAGTTCATCATTCTGCCACTACGCAGCACTAGTGTACTTCCAGTATTTTTCCAGCTACACCCAACCGTGGGATGTAAAATTTGTTACAATAATGAGAGATTCATCATCGCAGGATGCTAGTGGAGG